GGGGGGGGGGGGGGGGGGGGGGGGGGGGGGGGGGGTTACGTATCTATTTAAATCTCAGATCGCATCACGCTTAATCAATTACGATGACAGAAGAACAACAAACTCGTGAAAACAAAAACTTTGACAAAGAATCTCGGAAGGTCAACACTTCACAAAGCACCGTAACGAAAAACGCTTCGTTCGGGTAAACAACTTACACGAACTCTCGGTCCTAGTTGCTCTAGCACAAATAATAAAACTACCTAACATCCAAACAGGAATTTAAGTTTTAATTGCGAATATCCGCAAACGAACCAAATAATTCCTGCAAAGCAGGGTTAAGACAAAACCCTCGCAACACCGCGCAACATCTTCGAGCCCGCAAACGTTCCGAACACGAAACGTGGCATATAAAATAAAAACCAACTTTCGGCACTACGAGACGTCGCAGACGCCCGGAGATTAGTTTTTCGACATAAATACCTTCCTCGATAAAGTCATTTTCTTGGAAGATCTAACAGTCCGTCCGCGACTATAAAATTACGCAAAACTTCTTAACGTACGTATCCTTCGCGAAGGCCAGAACAACGTAAACATTTACCGCCTAAAAAGTTTGTTGCTGATCACAACAAACTCGCAACAGTCCTAAACAAACTTAAGTTATCTCGCAGAGATAGCTCTCAAACACCCGACACAAGGGTAATAGCGCCATAAAAGAAATCCAAACTTTTGGTCAGCACTTCCGGGCAACTTAGAAATTGTTCCCGGTGAGATGCTCGGTTCCAACCAGACGAATCGTATAAGCCGAGAACCTATCGCGGATTCTAAATCGGTATGGAATCAGGTTAAAATCACAACAGGCAAAACAAAAGCCGACTAGTCATCGTATAGCCTCAATCCGAAAGTAAACCTAGGTCTTGCCCTAAACCCAGCACACTGGTCGCTAACGTCTCAAGGCATGAATCGAGATCCTAAAGGCATGTCTCTTCGTCTATATCTAAACGCTCATTCGATTTACTAAACATCCTAAAACGGGCAAACGAACAAGGCGATACACTAAGGGAAAAAGGAATGCGAGACGACAACTCGCGGACCTCCCTCAATATCAACTCATAATCTTCCCGCTACATTCATACGAATAAAAACACGCTCTTAAAAACGCAAACTGATTTTTAATAAAGCCGCAAAAGCGACAGGGACTCAGAGCCGCGTCTCAACTAGGGTTTTAGTCTTAGATTGCTAGAACTAGGAATTTCGCCGACGGCTCACGCAGCTAAGGC